GAGCAGGGAGCCCGATGTGGGACTCGATCCCAGGACCCTGGGATCATGACCTGAGCCGAAGGCAGACGCTTAACGACTGAGCCACCCAGGTGCCCAAGACAGATGTTTTTAAGAAAGGTTTTTGACGGGCAGTACAGAACAAAATAAGGCATTTATTTTGTACCATTCACTTCTTTCTTGGTCTACTTAATGTTTCTGATTTTTGTTTTTTAATTTCGGGATTTGAGAATTCTAACCAAAGTAGCCTTGATCAATTGCTTTTAACTGTGAATCTTTTATACAGGTTGGGTTACTTTTTAAAGTTTCCCTACTTTGTTACTTAATTATATAAGTACTGGTTTCAGCTCTTGATTTCTTGAAAGCTAGAGATACGAAGTATGAGAATGATTAGATTTTTTTTCAGCATAAAGCCAAACCAGAATTTTTTTCTCCCTATATCTTTTGTTTTCACAAATAAAGTAACTTAAATTATTTTTGAGAAAATATAAAGTAGATTAGAATTTCAGTACTGGAGGTGAAGTAGAAGGAACATATTAGAAAGGAACTACCAGGCCTCTCATATTATTGCCCTTTTCCCCCTTGTTTTCTTTTTGATAGCTATACAAAATCGTAATCCTGTGTGGTATCAGGCTTTGACTCATGGTCTTAATGAAGAACAAAGAAAACAGTTACAGGATATAGCAACTCTGGCTGATCAAAGAAGAGCAGCCCATGGTATGTCAGTTGACCACAACCCCTCTTTAATGCAATTGATGACTTGATACAGCTTTAACATTTTATATTAAATGATTCAAAATTATATAAAAGGTACAATTGTTGCAGGTGACAGGAATTATGAAGGAATAAAGGAATGAAATGAAGAAATGAGTTCTGTTTTTGGCCATAGTTGACTGATTTTAAGTGTAGTCAAAGACTGCTTTCAGTGTGCAATAGCTTTGATAAAGTTGCTCAAGCTCATGGTGATGGCTTGTTAGTGGAAAATTCTATTAAAAGTATAAAAAATTTTTAGGTTAGAAAAACTATGCTTTTTCTTAGAAATATTAAAGGAAATCCCAGACATCATCATATCTTACCATCTTTAAACATTTCAGTATGCATTTCAGGAAAGGACATTTTAGATAATACACAGCCTAACAATTTTCTATAGGTCTTAGTACCATTAGTCAGATTAGTTTAATATTCAAAAAAGTATCCTCCTTACAGAAGGCACAACTTTCTATTATATTTGGATTTCCCTGCACTAGATTCATTAGCTGTTACTCCCTTTGTTGAAGAGTTGAGTTCTGATTCAGTATTTGACTCAGAAAGGTGTATTTAAAGACTTTTTTTGTAACATCAGAAAGTGAAAGTTGGCCAAGAAGTCTACAGCATACAACATGAGGGTTTATCGTCTCTCTATAATGTACCCCTTCCCCTCTCTTACTCCTGTACAAGAGAAGGAGGGAGAGGACAACTTTGGAACTAGTGGGTTTAAGCTTTTGTTAATGTCTGTCAATTCCTTCTCTTCTCCAAAGTAGTAAAATGATCAAATACTCTATTAAACTTTCACTTACTTGTTTTTTTAGAATCCAAAATGATTGAGAAGCATGGAGGATACAAATTCAGTGCTCCAGTTGTGCCAAGTTCTTTCAATTTTGGAGGCCCGGCACCAGGGATGAATTGAGTTATCACTTTCTTTCCTGCTGTGTGATTGTAGTGAAGAGCTTGTGTTCCTCCTAGTAGTGGTTCCAGAACTGGTTCATGTTATCTACTCTAAACTAATTGATCAATAGATGGACAAAAAAAACCCAGGAGGTTGGACCTGATCATGCAACTTGGCACTGAAAAAGAAACCAGAGGGATTTCGGGGGGGAGGGTGGTAATTTGGGGGTGGTATTTTCTTTATTTTTTGAAGAAAGTAAGATTCTGACTGAAAGTTCAAGTGACACTGTGGAAATCTGAAACGAGGGGATGTCATGAAGGCAGCTTTTCTTTTTCTGAGGAAAAAATAGGCATGGGCTACAGGACTATTTAAAATGTCTCATTTACAGTATAAGCTCAAAGGTAGATGTAATTTTTACACCTATGAGTATTTGTCCGATTTCTGTCTCTTCCTCACCATTGGGTATCTATTCTTTATATGTAAATAAGATAAGGTAATCGATAGCCTTATTCAGTCTTCATCATTTTCATTCATCAAAGATTGTTCCTATGTAGATTATTGGACATTTATTGTAGCACTACATAACTAAAAAAAAATCTGTAAATGAATTAGCACTTTCATATTGAAACAAGCCTGCTAGCCTATGTATAAAATAGCAAAATGTTTGCTGTTTATAAAAAGAAGGGATGTAATGGGGTGGGGGGCAGGGTAATTTCAGGTTATTAATTTAAAAATGAACTAGCAATTTTGTACCTGGTGACTTTGTGGTGCACTCACCTCTGATAGTGACTTGAATTCGGTATGTTAAAAGGGGTTAGTGATATTTCATTGCTGCTAAAAAATGGCAACTCCCTCTGTGTCCTGTTTTTCTTAAAGCTCTCAGTGTACACGTGGAGACTTGGATACAAGACCTTACTGTATCAAATAAGAAAGGTGATATTTGAAGCATGTAAATTGGATATAAAGTTCTACTCTTAAAGAGTTGATCAAAGAGTATGGCTAAACATCTATATATGCAATCTATTAAAAGAACTTAATTCGGCTATTATGTCTTGATTTGATTGCAGTTTTTTCCTAATTATAAAACTTTTCCCTCATTGGCCTGTTTTTATCCTGTACCTAGAAAGAGTGCAAAATGCACACTTTTAAAATTTAACACCTGCCCATATTCCCCTCCCCCCATATCCCCTACCCCTCTTGTTGGTGGTATCTGATCTTAAATAGCTAGGCTGAAGGCACACGGTTCCCTCCAAAACCACTATTGATACCACTGCAAAAACAAGCCAGCAACAAAGACAATGTGGAGAGGTTGCCTTGCTTCTCTCCTAACTGCATGTTGAAAAATAAGCCTTTATTGATCTTAAACATCTGTCAGATGAGTCATACATTGGGTTATTTTTTTATATACATGTATACACACAATATTTCAAATTGAAAGCAACATCTCAATGGATTCAAAACTATTAAATGCTGTTGTCTATAACAGACTAGGAAATTTATAACTGTAAAAATGAAACAAATGCACATATTGATATTTAAAATGCATAATGAAGAAAACCCATTGGTGTTGTGTTTTTCTTGTATGCCAATAATTAAGCCACTACTGTTGGCACTGTTTGGTTTTCTATTTTAACACTGAAGGAGTGAAAGTATTTCCTATATTTATGAATTTACTATGAAAATCTTGGCAAAAAAAAAAAAAGTTGTCTGTCTAAAATGTGTGGGTGAAAACTGTTAATCAGGTGTGTTTCTACTTTTTTTTCCCCCAAGTTGGACACCATCTGTATACCCTAGGTTGCTTAAGGGGATTTCACTATTATATAAAATCAATAAAATTAAAATGGAGTAGTTGTATATATGCAACATTGTGTACAGAGGGGATATATTGAATAGTATTAAACATTTTCGTCTTCCTTTACCTTTTATCCCTTAATATCTAGTCTACTTTTTTAAATTTCAGACTTCAATGCTCTTTGAATTGATAATTCCAATTTTCACATTGTTATTGGAAAACCATATCTAATAAAGGTTTTAGTTATTCCCATGCACAGTATGAAAATTCTCATTTGCTTAGCTTTTATTCTAAGAAAATGTATTGGTATGTCTGAGAATAAGTTTTATTGTCTCCTCTGTCATACAATCCAAACTAATCTCCATTTATAGATTTTAATTGAAATTAAAGACCTTAAAATTAGTTTTCAAGTGTTAGTTTTTAATGTATCATATATATATATGTATCAGTGATTTACAGTATTCCCTTAAATTTAACATCAAATTCTAGTTTCATACAGATTGTGCACCTTGATATTTGTCAGTGTTTCTGGATAAGGTTGTAGGACTTTGGATAGAAGTATTTACAGACTTGTAATTGGTTGCATGTAGATATTATTTAATATACAGCCTTTCCCACAGTTTCACTAACCTGTAACTTATTTAATTTATAGAAGTTAATTTTGATTTTGTTTGGGTTTCAGTTTTTGTTTTGTCAAACAAAGTGTAGAATCTTAACTTTTTGTTAAACTTAAGCCATCTTTTTTTTTTCAAAACATACTCATTTATCACCATTAAAGGAAGTTAATCTGTTTCTCTCCAGGTAATAAAATGGTGATTGCTAAGCTAACACACCTTATCAAGATAGTGACTGCTGTCCTCTCCTCTGGAAGAGACCAGAGTGTAGAGCAGGGTGGCCAAACCACAGCCCTACGTGTAGGCCCTGAAGCAAGAATGAAGAAAAAGTCATTAAGAACTGTATTAATATGACTAAACCATGTCTTTGGGAAGATCTAACACAATGCCTTAAGCATAGTAGTGTTTGTAAAATGAATGGCCTAAAATTACATTAAAACATCCATCACAAAAATGTCATTTCTGTTTTATATAATTTGAAATTTGGTGAAGATTGTGACTTTTTTTCTTTTTTTAAAGATTTTGTTTATTTATTTGAGAGAGAGAATGAGATAGAGCATGAGAGGGGGGAGGGTCAGAGGGAGAAGCAGACTCCCTGCTGAGCAGGGAGCCCGATGTGGGACTCGATCCCGGGACTCCAGGATCATGACCTGAGCCGAAGGCAGTGGCTTAACCAACTGAGCCACCCAGGCGCCCCATGACTTTTTTTTCTTTTAAGCATTCCTGAATTCTATGTTTTACCCTTGATGAGGTTGGCCACTCTTGTAGTAGCACTTTGGTGAATGTGGTTCTTACAAAGGGAAACTAGGTGTCCAGCTAGAAATCCAGGATTTTACTAATATGTAGGGAGAAACTGTCTTTTAAGTAACTTTTTTAGAAGTAACACACACACACCTCCCTTCCAGGTTTTTTAAAGCATAGGTGACCACTTCTTTATATATGTCTAGATTCTGCTTTCATGTATAGATTGACATTTGTCAGTACTCATATTGTTATACTTAATATTTGGATCCTGTATTTAAATGCTTCCTATCTGAGTCTTAAGATTTCTTTTAAAATCCTTTAATAAACTCAAACTAGAAATACAAGGGAACTCCTCAAACTGAAAAAAAGCATTACCGAAAACCTAAAGCTCATTAATGGCCATGATGATGAGAAACTAAAAACTTAACCCTTGCAATCAAGAACCAGACAAGCAAGTTCCCTGTTGCCACTTCTATTCAGCATTGTACATATAAGGCTCTAGCCAGGGCATTTAGGCAAGAAGAAATAAAAGGCTTCCTTCTAGATTAGAAAGGAAGAAGTGAAACTATTTGCAGATGATGTGATCTTGTAGAAAGCTTATAGGAATCCCCACACAAAAAAGCTGCTGACTTCATCATGATTGCAAGACACAAGGTTAATACTCAGTTGTATTCTATACAACGGCAGTGAAATTAAGGAAATTCCATTTATAACCCATCAAAAAGTTTAGCAAAACTGAAAACCTACTGTGAAAATTATAAACACTATTGAGAGAAAAATAGATGGAAAGACATCCCATATTCATGAATTGGAAGACAGTATCATGAAGACGGCCATCCTCCCCAAATTGATCTATGGTTCTGTGCAATCCCTATAAAAACAGCTACTTTTTTTTTTTTTTGCAGGAAATGACAAACATAATTTGTATGGATATGCAAGGGACTCAAACTAGTCAAAACAATCTTGAAAGCTGACATGATTTTGTAGTCATGACAGGGTCTTGGTGTAAGGATAGACATCTTACGCTGACTGATGGAATAAAATTGAGAGTCCGAAATAAACCCTTAAGTTTATTTTTGACGAGGGTGCCAAGACCATTCAGTATAAGAAAGAATAATCTTTTCAACAAGTGGTTCTGAGACAGATATCTGAGGTATCTACCTTCACATCATACACACAAATTAAAGTGGTTCAAAGATACAAACATTCAAACTCCAAAACTCTTAAAAAATATTGGCATAAATCTTTGTGACTGAATTAGGCAACAGTTTCTTGGATCTAACACCAAAACACAAGCAACAAAGGTTAAATGGGTAACTTGAACTTCATCAAAATTTTAAACTGCTTCAAAGGACCAGAAAGTGAAAGTTAAAAAACCCAGAGAATGTGAGAAAATATTTGCAAATCCTGAATATATAGAGGACTCTTAACACTCAACAACAAACCCCAATTTAAAAAGGAATCAAGGGGTACCTGGCGGGCTCAGTCAGTAGAGCATGTGATGATGGGTTCTGGCCCATGTTGGGTGTAGAGCCTACTGAAAAAAAGAATTTCTCCAAAGATAAATGGCCAGTATCCTATGAAAAGATGTTGAACATCACTAGTCACTAGGGAAATCACAAGGAGATATATCACACCTACTAACATGTCTGAAATAAAGAAGGTGATCATTACAAGTTTGGTAAGGATGTGGAGAAATTGGGACCCTCATACATTACTGATAAGATGAAAATGCTTATCTGTCATAGAAAAGTTTGGCAGTTCCTCAGATTGAAAATAGTGTAACCCAGAAATTCTCCTAGATATACATAATGAAGAGAAATGAAACACATGTCTGCACAAAAACATGGACACAATTGTTCATAGTTGCATTATAGTCAAAAGGTAGAAACAACCCAAATAACCATTAACTGATGGATGGATAAATAAAATGTATGGCCATACAATCAGTTGGATATTAGGCAATAAAAAGTAATGAAGTATTGTTTGTTACGTGCTACAATGTGGATGAGCCTTGAAACAGTGGAAGAAGTCAGACAAAACATTCCATTTATATGAAATGTCTAGAATTGTCAAGTCCAGAGACAGAGTGGTGGCTGTGGGGGTGGAGAAGGAATGAAGAATTACCGCTAATGGGTGGCACAGGGTTTCTTCTGGGGATGATATTTTGGATTAGACAGTGGTGATGGTTCGTACAGCCTTGTGAATATACTAAAAACTACTAAAGCGAACACTTTAAAATGGTGAATTTTATAGACTATCTCAATTTTCAGTTTTTTCTTAAAAGTCAAATTTGGTTAAAATTCTCTAAAAAGTAACCTGAAATGTTTCTAAATTAAAAAGTTTTACTCATGGTTATTCAGTTGTAAATGGTCTATAGAATTTGGGAGTAAATAATTAGAGATTGTATCTCCCCATATTTTGTTTTGCTACTAGTTCCTGTTTTTTTATTTTTATTATTAAGTAACTCTAAGCCCATTGTGGGGCTCAAACCCATGACCCCAAGATCAAGAGTCGCAAGCTCCACCAACTGAGTCAGCCAGGTGCCCCATTCATATTTTAAATCCCATCACCCTGTCAAACAGCCCTATTACTGTAATTGGTGCCAAAGTTTTGGAGGTGGATCCTTAAAATTTTTTTTTCCTGTAAATGTTGCATCACTGTTGTATCTTTTTTTTTAAGATTTTTATTTGTCAGAGAAAGAGCACAAGCAGGGGGAGTGGCAGGCAGAGGGAGAAGCAGGCTCCCCTCTGAGCAAGGAGCTGGCTTGGGACTCCATCCCAGGACTCTGGGATCATGACTTAAGCTGAAGGCAGACACTTAACCAACTGAGCCACCCAGGTGTCCCACTATCTTTTGATATAATACATAGTATTAGGAATTTAAGACTGAGCCAAACTTTTTTTCTCAAAAAAATTACAGCACTTAGTGTTTTTCTATAAAATAGTACCAATCTTACTGCTTATTTGGAGACATGAGCTTCACTTTAAAAAAAACTCTTGGGGCACCTGGATGGCTCAATTAAGCATCTGACTCTTGATTTTGGCTCAGGTCCTGATCTCAGGGTTATGAGATTGAGGCCCCTGTCAGACTCCACACTTATTGGGGAGTCGGCTTGTGATTCTCTCCCTCTCCCTTTGCCCCTCCCCCAGGCCCATGTGTGCATGCTCACTCACTCTCTAAAAAGTAAAAAAAAAAATTTATTTTATTTTATTTATTTATTTGACAGAGAGAGACACAGTGAGAGAGGGAGCACAAGCAGGGGGAGTGGGAGAGGGAGAAGCAGGCTTCCCG